TTTGTCACTTTTTTAGTATTTGTCACTTTTTTCTGTCATCTTGAAATTTCTATTACAATTTTTTAGTGACAAACATCAGTTTTTGTTAAAAGTGAGATTGTATGTCATTTTTTAATAAAAATGTGATACTAAATTATTAAAAGTGATATTGTGTCACTTTTTTTTAAAAGAAAAATGACATTTTTATTAAAAAAAAGTGACATTGTATCACTTTTTAACTTTAGGCAGTATTTTTTACTTCCTAAATTTTTTTCATATGATTTTTCAAAAGACTTCTAATTTTAAGGGTATTTTTGTAAGTTGCCCAAATATTAATACATTTTCCTTGTGCTTAAAATTACTTGAAATCCCACTAATACCTCTTATTTGGTGTATAAATAGGCAACGTGAAGGCCCTTGTCCAAATGTCTTTTGGAATTAATGCCTAAAAAGAGGTAGTCATGAAGTTGACTGTTAGTTTATATGATGATAATGTTAGTAACGCAATCCATGAAATAGTTGCAAGTGAGTAGTTCCGTTGCCTCCATTTTTCAAATTCTTTATATGAGGTAAAACTAATTCTCAATTTTGTCGAATGTTAAATGAGAATAGGGATTGTAATTGGTAAAGATTTCTATTTTGGTAAATATACTTCTAACTGCCTTCGCAGTGGATTTGACCTGCTTTATAATTCAATATATTCTTACATTTCTTTATTTATTAATTTTCCATACACAATTATTGCATTTGGATTGACTCCGTTATTTGATAATTATGCTTGAGAGCCTCAAAATAATTAGTTGCCTAGGGGCACAAAATTCTTGAGACCGCCTTGAACTTGTAACATCATAAGAAATCTTCATTTTTAAAATAACATTTGTAGTCCTTTTTTTTTTTTTAATATATGTATAAATAAATGACGGTTGACCATTCACCCACCAATTTGATCAGTAACCTGCTGTGTCATATGTTGGCCGGGTCATTGATCTATTTGGATTTCAATAGCCTTATAATCAATGATAATTGCCCAATCAGGGTATCGATAGGGTAGGATTAGGTTCAAGAACACTAGAGTACATTTATAAACTAACAAGAAAAATAATTTCCAAAATTCACCGATGTATAAACCAACAAAAAACCAAACCGGGTCCTCAGAGAGGACTAGCTGAACGGAGAAAACATTATGCTCCTGAATTTAGACCATATTCAGGGATCTTCAGACTATAAGTGGGAATATAAGAAAAATAAAAAAAACTGATAAAAAAAAAAAATAGTAAATCCAGCATGTGCCTCATAACTATACTCTTTGATCCTAACCCGAACCACGTTCAATCAAAGAGAGGTGTTCATGCAACAGCCGGCATGTCCTTGAGCCAAGCATCCAGTGGCTTGCCAATTGAGTACACGATAAATCCAATTTCCCTTAGTTTAGCCGGATTGATAATGTTGCGTCCATCAAAAATGAAGGCTGGTTTCTGCATGTTGTCATACATCTTCTGGAAATCAAGAGTTTTGAACTCATCCCACTCGGTGAGAATACAAACAGCATGTGCATCTTTAGTTGCCTCGTAGGCATCCCAAACAATACTAACTTGCTTCACCGTGGTGGGGCTCATCGGCTGAAGATGAAGGGGATGGTCCCAATCAAACTTCTTCATAGTGAGGTCCCTCTGGATCTGGTCCTCAGCAACCTGAGGATCGTAAATGCTCAATCGGGCCTTGTCCCCCAAGAGTCCCTTGCAAACGTCAATAGCAGGGGTTTCTCTGGTATCGCCAGTATCCTTTTTGAAGGCAAATCCAAGGATGGCAACTTTCTTGTTAGCAACCGTGTTGAACATAGAGGCAACAACACGGTTGACAAAACGATTCTTCTGATAGTCATTAATCTTGATTACTTGTTTCCAGTATTCTGCAACCTCAGGAAGACCATTGCACTCGCAAATGTAAACCAAGTTAAGAATGTCCTTCTGAAAGCAAGATCCACCAAAGCCAACACTAGAATTAAGGAACTTGGGACCAATTCTTGTGTCTGTACCAACAGCGTGTGACACTTGTGACACATCAGCACCAGTAGCTTCACAAAGAGCAGACATTGCATTGACCGATGAGATTCTCTGAGCCAAGAATGCGTTGGCAGCAAGCTTTGAGAGCTCTGCGGACCATAAATTTGTGGTGAGTATGCGATCCTCAGGGACCCAGTGGGCATAAACATCCTTCAATGCTTTAACTGCCTCTAGACCTTCCGGGGTTTCCCTACCTCCAATGAGAACCCTGTCAGGGTTGAATAGATCTTTAATTGCAGTTCCCTCAGCAAGAAATTCTGGGTTCGAGAGAATCTGAAAGTTGATTCCGTTGCTGTTGTGGGTCAAAATTTTCTCTATTGCCTCAGCTGTTTTGACTGGAACAGTCGATTTCTCGACCACAATTTTGTCAGATTTTGACACATCAGCAATCATGCGAGCTGCACTTTCCCAGTATGTCAAATCTGCAGCTTTACCTGCTCCTAGACCCCGAGTTTTGGTGGGAGTATTAACTGAAACAAAGACAATATCAGCCTCAGCGACATGTTTCTCCACATCTGTACTGAAGAAGAGGTTATTGCCCCTGCACTGCTTCACAACATCCTCAAGGCCTGGCTCATAAATGGGGAGCTGATCGCTATTCCAGGCATTGATACGAGGAACAGAAATGTCGACGACGACGACTTCAATTTTAGGGCATTTAAGTGCAATTACAGCCATGGTTGGGCCTCCAACATAACCAGCGCCAATACAGCAAATCTTCACCATTTTCCCCTCTGTTTCAGGACTCTGGAAACAGTTTTGACATAAAGATTTGTCAGATCGTGCTTCACAAACACAGAGATTCAATGAGGGAATATTTACCAATTCATCACGGTAATATTGAATGGAATTTCTCGGGCAGCTTTGGAATACCTCCCTAATATGAATATATTCAATATAACCATCCATTAACACACAATAATCATTGCACCATAAAAAAGGCTGAAAGTTTGTTTCTCATAAAACTTGTAATGTAACTTTATTGGAAAGTACGTGCCTATCATTTTGCACAAATAACATTTTTGGCTATATCATCCTCATAACAGAGATTCATGACAATTTCACAACATAACCTTGAAAAGTTAAAGCCTATTGAGGACTGGGATAGATAAATTACAATGGGGGATAGCCGTTATATAAATGTTCCACCTCCAACAGAACGGAGAAGTAATTGTCTGGCCATTTATTTAGGTTGAAATGAAGAAAACAGGCATCTGGTATGATTTTGGTGGAGAGAAGGATTAAATTATTCTAAACTCTAATAAAGGGGGAAGAAATCGAATGGCCATTTGTTTCCTTTAAATCAGAAGAAAACAGTAAGCAGGTAATCTGGTATGAATTTTGAGGGCAGAAGATTCGATTACCCAAGCCCCCTCTATCCACAAATAAAGCTTGCGCACTTTGGAATTATATCTGATGCGTGCGCATGAAACAAGCACAGGTAAAATCATAAAAAATTCTAAAATCTCATCACAAAGCGTAACAATAATATAATTTTTGAGCAGATCTTTAAAGACACTACTTTACAATTTAACCCATGTTTTAAATAGCAGAAACTCAGATAAACAATTGAATCAGGGAGCTCTTGTAGATCTAAACCAATCACATAGTTAAACAATAATTACAATTACGCAACAAAAAAAGAGACCTAGATCAATCAATCTAAAACCACAAATATCATCATATATACCGCGAATTCCAATTCAGATCAAACGTAAATAATCAAGCACATAACCTCTTCAAATTTCTTCACCAACTCATGACCAAATCAATTCATTTTCATGTCTGCCAACACGCACAAACACCAAAATTCATGATACGAAAATAAAAGTTGTTTTTACCTCTAAGCTCGCACCGTCTGATTTCCAAAAACTATAGAAATAGAGAGAAAAACCGATCTGTGAAGTGAAATGCGTTAAAGTATACGAAAGCTGAGAAAGCGGGCTCCTGTTTATGTAGTCGTTGGAAAAAGGTGAAATGACAATAAAATCCGTTACAAGTTTGGCGAGGACTAAATTGAGAAATAAATAAAATAAAAATTGACTTTAATTTTGGGTAGTGGAGAAGAAATGGTATACTTTTTCAACATGTTTTGACTAACGGTGCAGTGCATGCACCAACGCTGTCACGCTGGCATGACTATGAGGTGTACTGTGCGCTTCCCGGATGGTGCCCGAATTTTTGGCTTGAACCGCGAGGCATTTGGGATGTGATCCATCATCCAACGGCTCTAACCATTATTATTATTATTTTTTATCAGTGCTAAAAAATGGGTTTATATTCGATCTCACTCTCCACAGGAGACACATGTTGTAATGTTATTTCACGTTTATCAACTTAGATTTTTTCACGTTAAAAATGAGTTAATTCGTTCAAAGTGAAATTTAAATAATTAAATTTTAATAAATTCTGAATCTCTTTATGGTCTATTTATGAAAATTGTGCATATCATTATCGTCCATTTCGTATTCTCTATGCTTATAAAATATCACACAATTTTTTTTTGGTCATTTTTCAATCTGTATTAATTAATTGCCAAGGTCTTGCGGAATTAAGAACGTGCGCCAAGATAACTTCAAAGTTGAGAATGCACCAAAAGAAATTTGAGTGAGATTTAAGGTACAATCATGTGATGGCATTTAAATATTAATTTCATTTAACAATAGTATGTTTGAGGGCAAAGGGGAAGTGAATTTTATTTTATTTATTTGTTTTTCATTTTGATTAAGAATAAAGATATTTAAATGGCCGAGGGGATGAAAATTGCCCACGAGAGATAAATAGCTACAAACTTGATAGGTTGAAAATAACTCTCGTTAATGATAAAGAAATAGATGGTAGGTGACTTAGTTTTCAGTAATTGTGGTCATAGTTATTAAGAGCATGTTTGATGTAAATTTTCTTAGAATAGATTTTGTGAAAAGAGATGCTTTTGAAAAATGTGTGGTTAAAAGTGAAAAAAAGAAAGATGAGTTTTAAGGAATTTGTATCTTAACAAGAGCTAATTTCCCTTGATCAATCACAAATTCAATAGATACATGCACATCAAAAAAGGTAAAATGTGTTAAGGTGTAATGATAGTCCCTTGAGGTCGTTAAACTGTTCGATAATCTGCTTTTGCAAATAGAAATTTCTCACTAGTCCTAACTCTTTCCATAGTTTTGGGCCAAATTGCAAGTTTACCGTAGGTTAAAGGGCGTGAATGAAAATTAGGCCAATTGTTCAATAAATCCTATTTAACCTAGCATTATTCTAATCAATATGCTTTCCCTCTCTAAATCAGCAGAAATTAACGGTCCAAAATCATAGTATCATTCAAACGATACATCCGACGCTCCAAAACATAGCCCTCGTAAACTAGCCGTTATAAATCGAGCGTCTACAACTCAACGATCTCCTATTTCCCTCAATCAATGAAACTCTAATCGTGAAACAAAAAGCCATTACCATTATATTTTGTTGTTTGTACCTAAAAAATAAAAATTCTAAATTTTATCAATTATCCGGCGAACTTTCTGATGGATTCAGGTTCGAAAACCGCCAGAGCAGTTACGCCTGCAAAAGAACTGAATCGATCAAAATTTAGTGAAATTTCAAAACAATTAGAGAATTTCAATCCCAACGTATCTTCTCCAGCTTCTAAATCATCTAATTCTCCATGCATCAATTCTACAAAAAGTGCCTGCACCAAAAAATCTACTTCCAGAAACCTTAACCCTACCGGTAGGAGTCAAATGATGTCACCTTCACCGGTGAAGAAGATTTGGCAGAGGAAGTTCTTGATTGCAAAGAAGAAATCGGGAAAGGTGGAAGTGGATTCTTCGACATCAGCATCAGTGGAATGTTACAAGTGTAAGAAGGGGACAGAAAAATCCAAATGTTTGTGTGTGGCCTATGAGAGCCTGAGGGCTTCTCAGGAAGAGTTCTTCAATAATCGCAGTAAAATTGACGATAAGGTCGATTTGGAGAAGTAATGTGATGATGATTCTTCAAATAGGGGGATTGATGTTAACCCTATAAGTCAAAACCCTGAGATTGCCAAAAGATTTGGAGGCAAAGTAGAGGGAAATAATGATTTGTATAAGATCAATGCAATGAACAAGGGTGGTATAGAAGAGGGTGAGGTGAATGGGGAAACAGGTATTAAGAGAAGAAGGGGAAGGCAGTTAAAAGAGGATAGAGAGTGTATACCGGAGCCAAGGTTTGGAATGGTGATGCATTTGGTGAAGGCATTCAAGAAACTTCTTTCAATTCCAAAATTCGAGCGATTCAAAGGATAAGGAGGTGGACGAAGTGGAGGATATTAACATTGAAATGAAAAAACCTATTGAAGTTGCTGAAACACAGGTTCCTCCATCTTTAAATTGTCCCTTAGATGTTATCCTCACATTAAAAAGCTTAGGTTTGGATTCAGTTTCCCACCATTATTCATTAGACAGTAGCCAAGGAAGGTTAGTAAGGGTAATAGCTACGTTGATTTTTGACATAATCAAACTTGATTTTAAGTAATTCTGTTGGAAAAATTGGGTAATTTGTGCTTGAATAAATTTATCAATTAGTATAATCAATTAAATGACATAAATATAATTCAACAATAATATAAAATAAGAGGAGGGTTAAAAAAGTAAGCCTTGGGAGTCACGTCGAAAACGCTGTCCTAAAATTATGTTGCCTCCCTTTCGTGCGAGTTCTTTCGGCACTATACGGCTCCAAGACAAAACCATGTGGCTCACAGACAGTTTTCTTTCTATGGACACGACCATAAGAAGATAAGTGAATGAACCTTTATCGAATTGCCAAAAGTATAAGAATATATTATAAATTGTATAGAATGTTTTTTCTTCCAAAATATTTAGGGTTATTCGCAAATTCCTTTCCTTTTGGGGTATAGCTTCGACCTAGCTATGGCCCAATGGGTGGCGAACTTTGATTGCCACCCTGATTTTATAGGACCAGTAAGGAAATCCCGAGCTCAGTGTCGAGCAGTTCAACTTCTTATTTACTTTCAAAGAGGATGGGAGGACCTCTGGCTGGTGGTATACTAGTGTCAGGCCGAGGACCGGCGGCTCCCTAGTGCTGGACACTCATTCCTCAATTAAGAAGTGGAAAGAGGAAATTTTCTACGTGTCGGGGGATTGGGAGTTCCACCCTGCCGAGGTGGATAAGGAGGATGTTGTCCCTAAATTCTACCATGCTTTATGTAAGCAATACTTACTCAGATACTTCATTCTGAACTGACATTAAAATGATGCTAACCACTTGCGCTCTTGCTTTATAGATTACAAGAAGGCCAACTTGACCAAGGACACGCAGAGGTGTGCTGAGGCTATAAGGGCTCTTCCCAAAAGGCAGAGGTTGTGCAAATACGTGATTTTCGACTCGAATTTATTCAAAGCGGGCTTGATCCAAACAATTGCTTTAGGTCAGACCTCAGTGCGTCCATCAGCATCAACCCCGGTTAGCCCAGGTAAAAGTATTGCATTGCCTTCCTAAGCTCGCGTGGTTTTCAACACTGCCATCAACTTATATCTCTTTTATATTTTTAGTTTGCGGTCCAGAAATGTTGGGATACAAGGTGGCCAAGGAGGCGCGGCAGCAACAGCGAAAGGAAAAAGGCCTAAGGCCTCAGTTCGGGTAGATAACCGATCTGAAGAAACTGAGGAAGAGGTCTCGCCTTTGAAGAGGACCCGATCTGGAACTTCGGCTGCACCATCTATCCCGGAGGATGCTCTCCTTACCCCACCGAATTCTGCCCAGGAAGCCTCTCATTTTCTACCATCTCCCCCTCCGGAGGCTGTCCCTACTCTACCATCGCTGAACCTCGAGGTTCCGATCTTTGTTAGCTTCTTCCATTGCAGTTGAAAGCTCTTTCCGATCTCAGGAGAGATGTCCCAACATGCAGAGATCGAGTTTGGATGGGTTACTAGGTCGCAGGCCTGAGATTCTGTTGGATTTTTTGCGGGCTCTTCCAGGGAGACAACGGCTGCCCTGGCTCCTCCATTACGCGACTCTACCAACCTCCTGACTAGGAGCTGGAATGAGAGGGAGCAGGGTTTTTTGGCTGAGATGTCACTTGGAGAGGCGCGGGAAAGAGAGAGCTTGGGAGTTGAAGAGGTAGGGTCTCACAGGGGTAGTGACAGAAATGATATAGAAGAATGGGGAGCCAGTTCCTACAAGTCGATTGTAACAGGGATATGCTAGCGAGCTGGAGTGGTAGGTACGATGTGCCTAGCTCGGTTATAATGATTATTCCCGAACCTTTCGACCAAGCTGATAAGCCACCCTTAGGATGTGTAGCTTTGAATTCGGCCATTTTACAAGCTAGCCTTAGACTTCCCATCCCTAGGGTTATTCGCAAATTCCTTTCCTTTTGGGGTATAGCTTCGACCTAGCTATGACCCAATGGGTGGCGAACTTTGATTGCCACCCTGATTTTATAGGACCAGTAAGGAAATCCCGAGCTCAGTGTCGAGCAGTTCAACTTCTTATTTACTTTCAAAGAGGATGGGAGGACCTCTGGCTGGTGGTATACTAGTGTCAGGCCGAGGACCGGCGGCTCCCTAGTGCTGGACACTCATTCCTCAATTAAGAAGTGGAAAGAGGAAATTTTCTACGTGTCGGGGGATTGGGAGTTCCACCCTGCCGAGGTGGATAAGGAGGATGTTGTCCCTAAATTCTACCATGCTTTATGTAAGCAATACTTACTCAGATACTTCATTCTGAACTGACATTAAAATGATGCTAACCACTTGCGCTCTTGCTTTATAGATTACAAGAAGGCCAACTTGACCAAGGACACGCAGAGGTGTGCTGAGGCTATAAGGGCTCTTCCCAAAAGGCAGAGGTTGTGCAAATACGTGATTTTCGACTCGAATTTATTCAAAGCGGGCTTGATCCAAACAATTGCTTTAGGTCAGACCTCAGTGCGTCCATCAGCATCAACCCCGGTTAGCCCAGGTAAAAGTATTGCATTGCCTTCCTAAGCTC